GACCGCAGCCGCGCTGGAGGCTTCTCGCAAATGCCTCCGGACCCCCCCGACGTTTTTGTTGGTCTGCTCTGCACGATCTTGGGTTTTTCCCAGCCGTCTCGCGGCTTCCTTCTCCTCGCCCCGCGACCGCTTGCACCCTTGTGCCTTCCTTCGCCCCGGATGCGCCCCGCCGTTTGCTCGACCGCTCGTTGGACCCAGCCCGCCGCCGACCAAAAAAGCCTATATGTTTGATTGTTTCTTGTTTGTTTGTTTGTTTGCTGGTTCGGCGTCTGGTGGGGACTTCGTGCCCTGGGTCCCGCAAGGAAGCGAAGCCTGCGGCGCAAGAGAGTCGGTCCTGACATTTGAAGTCTAGTTCCCAAGCATCCTGTAGTGTTGGGTCTTCGTTTTGAACAGACGGTCCCCGCGTTCCTCCTCTCTCCTCCTTTCTCCTCCTCCTCCTCCTCCTCCTCCTCCTCCTCCTCCTCCCCCCTCATTCCCCTCTTCGCCTATGCCCTCCGCATATTTTCGTTTCGGCACACTCCTCACACGTTTCGTGGCCCTATAGGGAGCCCCACCGAAGGCCCCAGTGGTGCGCTCGCATGACACCACAGCACCACAGTCGGCACAACCCTCACACACCCATTTGGGCACACCACTCACGCGTTTCGCGGCCCCATAGAGAGCTCCTCCGAAGGCCCCAGTGGGTGCGCTCGCTTGACACCACCGCACCCATGTCGGCACGTCCCTCGCACGTTTTGTGGCCCCATAGGGAGCCCCACCGAAAGCCCCAGTGGCTGCGCTCGCATGACACCACCGCACCACAGTCGGCACGCCCCTCACACGTTCCGTGGCCCCATAGGGAGCTCCGCCGAAGGCACCAGTGGCTGCGCTCACATGACATCACCGCACCCATGTCGGCACGGCCCTCGCGCGTTTTGTGCCCCATAAGGAGCTCCTCCGAAGGCCCCAGGTGTTGCTCTCGCATGGCGCCACCGTGCCCACTTCGGCACACCCCTCACACGTTTCGTGGCCCCACATGGAGCCCCACCGAAGGCTCCAGTGGCTGCGCTCGCATGACACCACCGCGCCCATGTCGGCACGCCCCTCGCACGTTTTGTGGCCCCATACGGAGCTCCACCGAAGGCCCCAGTGGTTGCGCTTGCATGGCGCCACCGCGCCCACTTCGGCACACCCCTCACCCGTTTTGTGGCCCCATAGTGAGCCCCACCGAAGGCACCAGTGGCTGCGCTCGCATGACACCACTGCGCCCATGTCGGCACGCCCCTCACACGTTTTGTGGCCCCATGCGGAACTCCACCGAAGGCACCAGTGGTTGCGCTCGCATGGCGCCGCCGCACCCACTTCGCGGCACACCCGTTACCCGTTTCGTGGCCCAATGGTGAGCTCCACCGAAGACGATACCAACAATTGCATGATTCACAACTGCATATGGTTGGTCCTTCGGCAGGATAATTTTTGTTCAACGGTCGCTTGGCGATGGGGGGGAGGAGGGTTTTGAAGCCTCTCCCCACCCAATCCCACCCGCAGGTGTAGGGGGTGAGGGAATGACGGAATCCCTTCCCTCCCCTACGTTATTAGGGTCTTCGCTGGCCAATCCAGTGGACCGCACCAGCCAATCCGTGTCTACAGCGGCTGCGCGGTTTCACTGGCCAAGTGGGCATTTCACCGGCCAGGCGTCAAACGGAACAATGGGAGATGTTATATCGTGTTGCAGAGATGTTCAGCAGGAGCGGCCGCCCGATCGCCTTCTCACTCGCAAGCGTCTGCCGCTCAAGCTCTGGCCCCGTGGGGATCCGCCTCAGCCGTGGATGCACCAGTTCCTGGTCCGCGCGGGGGCCGAGATTCCCAGGGGCGTCTCGGCGGCGCTCGTCGTGCGGGGGGGCAGCCAGGCCTGCCCGCCGTGCGAGCCGACGCCGATGTGCGCGGCCTGCCCCGCGCTGCCCTGCCCCAGAAGCCGGGAGTGCCAGTGCGCTCCGTACCTCCAGTGCCCGAGCCTGAGGAGGAGGAGGAGGAGGAGGAGGAGGAGGAGGAGGGGGAGGAGGAGGAGGAGCAGGAGGAGGAGGAGGAGGGGGAGGAGGAGGGAGGAGGAGGGAGGAGGATGGAGTGTTCGCCCAGAGCTCCTTCCCCCAGGAGGGGCTCTCGCTCGTTCACTTGCCGGGCCGCCTCGCGGTGGCCGTCGGCGCGTGGCTTCCTCGCGGGGCGGCGCGGGGTTGGCCTCGGGGGCGGTGCCAGCTTCCTCGGGGGCAGCTGCCTCGCCCGCCGTGGCTGCGGGCGCGGCGCCACCGCTGCTGGCTTCGGCCTCCGCGCGGGTCGCCGCGCTCGAGGACGTGGAGGAGCAGGCCCGCCGTCGGGCCCGCCAGGCCGCGGCCTCCGCGCGGGCCCGCCGCGGGGCTGGACGGCGGCCCACCCGGTGACGGCTGCATCCGGGCTGTTGGCGGGCGACTTCGCGGGCCGCCCCGCCGCTTGCGGGGGCCCGGCCTGCAGGGAAGAAACAAAAAAGCCTCCCCAAGCAGGTGCGATCGAAGACGAAGAGGGCGGGCACCGAGGGTTTTGGAAATGCGCATGCAATGGCTCTCGAGTAGATAAGAGCGACCAGTATTCCACTGATGGTTGTTGTTGGTGCTGTTGGTGCTGTTGGTGTTGTTATTGCTGTTGATGTTGTTGTTGTTGGTGGTGGTGGTTGTCGTTGTTGTTGTTGTTGTTGTTGTTGTTGCTGCTGCTGCTGCTGCTGCTGTTGTTGTTGTTGTTGTTGTTGTTGTTGCTGTTGTTGTTGTTGTTGTTGTATTCTCACTGCTGAAGAATTGTTTTTTTCAACCGAAGTGCCCACCCTGTTTTTTTTACGAGGGAAAGCGAGGGGTCACCAAACTGCGCCCCTGGCTCCCGGTTTACAGCAACAGCGGCTCCAGCTTGATATTTCCTCACAAGTAATTTTCAAATCGCGCTTTCGCGCGGCATTTCCTCACAATGTATACAGGAATCGCACTCTCGCGTGGGACTTCCTCGCCATTTATTCAGACGCCGCGCCCTCGACACTCAGAAATCCCGCTCTCACTGTGGATTTCTGGACGATTATTGTTAGGGAGTCGCGCTATCGCACGAGACTTCCTCACGATTCATGCAGGACGCACGCGTCAGCAACCCGCCTGCTCGACCTGGCCGCCTGGGCCCGCCTTCCCGACCCGCCCGTTAGGGTCTACCTGCCCGATTTTCCCGTTTGTATCTGCCACGTGGTTTCTGCTCCTAGCCCCTCCTCCTGCTATTCCCAGTCGTGTTCCATTCTCCTCCCTCCTTCTTATCCCTTCCTTCCATCCGTCCTCTCTTCTCCTGCCTCAGGGGCTGCACGGAATACATGTTGGAGATACGAAAAATATATACCCCCAAGGGGGTACGCGATCGAAGACGAAGAGGGCTGGTACCGATGGTTTGGGATATACGGATACGGGTTGAACGGCCCGCGAGCAGATTCAAATGAACAGTCTTAAGCTACTTGTTGAACATTATTCCTTCTAAAGAATTATTATTGTTGGGACCCCTGGTGCGCGACCTCTGCGCCGCGCCTAGGCCGCAGCTACATTTTCATCATTTTTTCGCGAAAGCTTCAGAAAAGTGGATGAGCTCCGGATCCGGTTTTTTGTTGACGCTCGTTTTCCCTTGCAAAAAACAATAGAAAATGAAAATTCTTGTTTTTACTTGATCAAATTGCAAGAATCCCTTGCAAAAAATAAGGTAAAGTGGACATTCGTGCGCGCAAGACGAAATCCTTCCAAAACCTTAGGTTTCGTAACGATTTTAACATAAAAACATCAAAAACCCAATGGTTTTCTCAGAAAAAATTGTCAAAATGTCCTTCCGCGCGCTCTTGCGGATTCCTAGGAAACCCACCAGATTTTAAACATTTCTGTTAAAAGGGCCTGTATGAGCAATGCATGCGTCATCCTTGGGACTGTATAACAGCAGAAACAGACAACATTGCATCGCAGCGGGACAGCCATCGGGACAACCATCGGGACAACCATCGGGACAACCATTTGGACAAGCATCGGGATAACGATCGGGACAACCATAACCATCAGGACAACCATCGGGGCAACCATCGAGACAACCATCGGGACAACGATACCTTCTCTCTTGTGTCCTCCCACATCCCTCAGGAAGTTGCCCTAAAGATGTGACCGACTCCTCTCTCTCCTTCTCTCTGTCTCTCGCTCTTTCTCTGCTTCATATCTATCATACGTAACACATCTACTTGTGTAATCGCCTTCCCAGGAATTTGCCTCAAAAATGTGACCAACTATCTTGGCACTGCGTACCATCTCACGTGTACCGTGTACCACATCTTCTCAGGTTGCCTCACACATGTGACGAATCTCTTTCTATCTCTCTCTCCACTGGCTCTCTGTCTTGCTCTCTCTCTCTCTCTCTCTGTCTCTCTGTACTATGTATGTCATACGCAACAAATGCACCATGCGGGGCACATGCGGGGCCCAAACAAGTGATCAACCTCTGCGGGTGTGTACTCCACGCCAGTGTAGTATCCACGATCGTCCGCGCGCCACGAAGTGAAGTGTCCTGACGTCATAGGGCGGGAAGCTGGGTGTGGGTGGTTCCCGAGAGTCGTGTGGATGTTTGGTAGAGCTTGCATTGCCCCCCCACGAAGTGGGGGTATTGGCTGGCGTCGCATGAAAACCCTGGCACTGGGGAGAACACTGAGCGTTCGGGTAAAATGATTGTTGTTGTTGTTGTTGTTGTTGTTGTTGTTGTTGTTGTTGTTGTTGTTGGAAAAGGCGCGCGTGGGAGCTCCGGCCGCCCCCCCCCCCCCCAGCAACCGAGCAACCGAGCAACCCTCTCTGGGGGTCTCCTGGGGGCGCCAAAGATTCCCTAATAGGATTTCATAGGAATTCTATAGGCTTCCATAGGAATTCTATAGACCGCCCTCGGAATTCTATCGGCCCCATCGGAATTCTATAGGCTTCCATAGGAATTCTAGAGGCCCCCATGGG